AAATTAAGGATCCAAAATATCACTGTTTTCAAGTGATCCAAATGTTTGCTTTGAGAATTCAAGAGAATCAGTTGAAAACCCATTAAAACTAATAAGCAAGTTAAGGAAGGAGACAGACACAAGAATAATATCCAGAAAGCAATAGCTTTTCAATAAATTAACAATAACCAACTAGAAAACATGCAGGAAATAGTAAGAAGTCTAGCGCTGTGCATGGGGGTAGACTCTGGAGCCAGATGGCCAGGATTAGAATCTTGGCTTGGCCACTTCCTAACTTTATGACTTTGAGCAATTACCACACCTCCCTGTGCCCTAGTTTGCTCATTTATAATTTGGGGATAATAACAGCACCTTCTATGAAGTGAAAAAAGGAGAATACATTTATGATAGCTTGTTATTAATTTTTTAAACTCAGTGCAAATGTATGTATATAGCTATAAACATAAGTATGTATGTATCTGAAAGAGTTCTGGAAAGATGTGCACCAAACTCTGGACAGTGGCAGCAACCAACCTTGGATAGGGTAAAGGGAGTTGGAGTGAGTTAACAGAAATATTCACATGTTGTTATCAGTACTTTTGCATTCATTTCACTTTAATGTATCAATATATTAGTTGTATAATTAAAAGCAACAAAGGCAAAGATGAAAGATATGATGTATACATTTAGCTTGCTATGTGACAGATTATACTTTACAAAGATGACCTCACCAACATATATCCCATTCCACATGCTTTTACCATGTGATACCATGTTGGTGTTACTCCATCAAGAGTGGGGTTTCAGCCCTGGCTGTTTTGGCTCAGAGGTTAGAGCTTCGGCCTGCGGTCCAGAGAGACCCATGTTTGGTTCCCACTAAGGGCATGTACTTCGGTTGCTGTTTGTCCCCGGCTCTGGTTGGGTCGTGCAGGTGGCAGCCACTCGATGTGTCCCTTTCACATCGATGTTTCTCTCTCTCTTCCTTTCTCTCCCTCCCACTCTATCTGAATAAAAAATGGAAAAATGTCCTCGGGTGAGGATAAAAAAAAAAAAAAAGAGTGGGGTTTCACTAGTCTTGGCCCAGTAGCTCAGTTGATTAGAGTGTCATTCCCATACATCAAGGTTGTGGGTTTGAGCCCCAGTCAGGGCACATACAGAAGTCAACCAATGAGTGCATAAATAAGTGGAACAACAAATCAATGTTTCTCGATCTCTCTCTTTCTCCCTCTCTCTACATTCCTCTCTCTTTAAAAGCAATACATAAAAAAAAAAAGTGGGGTTTCATGTCCTTCTCTTGAACCTGAGGGGACCTTTGTAACTGCTTGCTCCAATAAAATGTGGTAGAAGTAATGCTGTGTTATTTCAAAGACTAGGTCATAAAAGGAGATAAAGCTCCCACGTGGCCCCCTCTCTTAAGACACTTGTCCTTGGAACCCATCCACCATGTTTCCAGGAAAACTAGGTCACATGGAGAGGTTGTGTGTGTGCGTGTGTGTGTGTGTGTCTGTGTGTTCTGGCCGACAGTCCCAGCAAGGTCTCTGACAGCCACCATCAACCACCAGACATATATGAGTAAATAACTCTTCTAATAATTCCAGCTCCCAACCTTTGAATCTTCTGAGGCCTCAGACATCGAGGAACTGATAAACCATTCCCACTGTGGCTTGTCCAGATTCCTGTTCCACAGAAACCATGACAGACTCTATATTTTGAAAATAGTAGTATTACTATTTCACATCCTATCACTTGAGTATATCACAAATACCTTTCCTTTTCAATAGATGCCTTTGTATAGCATTATTAATGGCTTTTTACTTTTTATTTATTGACTGGTTTTTTGAGAGAGGGAGATGGAAGAAGGTAGAGTGAGACATTGATTTGTTGTTCACTTATTTATGCATTTATTGGTTCATTCTTTTAAAAAAAATTTTCTTTATTGATTTTAGAGATAGAAACATTGATGAGAGAACATCGATTGGCTGCCTTCTGCATGCCCCCCACTGGGGATTGGGCTCACAGCCTGGGCATGTACCCTGACTGGGAATTGAACTTGCGAACTCTTGGTGTATGGGTCATTGCTCAACCACTGAGCCACACCGGCCTGGCCATTGGTTCATTCTTTATGTGCCCTGATGGGGGAACAAAGCTGCAATCTTGGCTTATCAGGAAGATGTTCTAACTAATTGAGCTGCCCCAACGGGGCTTGGATTATTTTTTCAAATATGTCTTTTTAATTGTGTTTTTTAGAGAGAGAGGGAGAGAGAGATAAAACATCAATGTGAGAAACATTGATTGGCTGCCTCCTGCACACCCCCTACTAGGGATAGAACCCACAGCCCCAGTATGTGCCCTGACTGGGAATTGAACCCAGACCTTTCAGTCTATGGGACACTTAGTCCACTGAACCACACCAGCTGGGGTAATTTTTTTTTAATCCTCACCCAAGGACATTTTTCCATTTTTTGTTCAGACAGAGCGGGAGGGAGAAAGAGAGAGAGAGAGAGAGAGAGAGAGAGAGAGAGAGAGAGAAACATCAACGTGAAAGGGACACATCGAGTTGCTGCCACCCACACAACCCAACCAGAGCTGGGGACAAACTGCAACTGAGGTACATGCCCTTAGCAGGAATCGAACCCAGGTCTCTCTGGACCGCAGGCCAACACTCTAACTGCTGAGCCAAACCGGCCAGGGCCATTTTTCCATTTTTTGTTCAGATAGAATGGGAGGGAAAGAGAGGGAGAGAAACATCGACGTGAAAGGGACACATTGAGTGGCTGCCTTCCGCACAACCCAACCAGGGCCGAGGACAAACCGTAATCGAGGTATGTGTCCTCTGCGGGAACCGAACCCGGGTCTCTCTGGACCACAGGCCGATGCTCTAACTGCTGAGCCAAACTGGCCAGGGCTTAATTTTTAAGTCTTTATTTCCTGGGGAGGAATTTCCACTAAGTCAAAATAATGTTATTGTCAGCCCAATAAAAGTTTACTTAATGGAGTAATATTGAAAACAAGGTTGGATCTGTGCTTTTAAGAAACTTACCTTTATCCCTGGCTGGTTTGGCTCAGCGATTAGAGCATCTGCACATGGACTAAAGAGTCACAGGTTTGATTCCTGGTCAAAGGCACATACTTCAGATGCAGGTTTGATCTGGCCCTGGTCAGGATCATTTGGGAGACAACCAACTGATGTGTCTCTCTCACATAGATGTTTCTGTCTCTCCCTCCTTCTCTTCTTCCCTCCCTCTCTTAAAAATAAATAAATAAATAAAACCCTTACCTTTACAAGGGGAAAGGCAGGTGAACAATTAAAGATCATACATAGGCTCCAATATATTGTATGTGTACCAGTGTGCTAGATATGCAAGTGAGCTCATTTTCTATTTTGCAAATGCAATAATTCTACTGAAAGACTTATTGTTTTCTTTTTCTGGAGAGGATTTATTACCAGTAACCCAAAGTGAGAGTTCCTAATTGACATTTCATTTGCAGAAAATAAAACTTAGGTCCTTTACTAATAGTATTGTAATTTTCATAAAGGCATATGTTTTCTCACCCTGGCCAGTGTGGCTCAGCTGGTTGGAGTATCGTCCTGTGCAATGGAAGGTTGTGGGTTCAAATTCTGGTCAGGGCACACACCTAAGTTGTGGGTTCAACATTGGGGGGCAACTCATCAATGTATCTTTTACACGTTACTCCCCCTCCCTTCCTAAAATCAATAAAAATAAACAAATAAAGGGATGTGTTTCCTCAAAACACATGTAATAACTACACTGGAGTATAATAGACTTATGTTGCTAATATACAAAATTCATAATCCTACAATAAACATAAACTCATCACTATTAAATAATCCAAATTAATTTGGAGCTTTCTAGTATTTGCACCTGATCTAGGAACATGTTCTGAGATAAACTGGAAGCTGAAACTCATGTGTAAGAAACACACCAGTACATACAAGAAGCAAGAACTAAATAAGAGAGCCCATTATGCCCAGAGGGTGTGGCTCAGTGGTTGAGCATTGACCCATGCACCAAGAGGTCGCTGGTTCGATTCCTGGTCAGGGCACATGCCCATGTTGTGGGCCAAATCCCCAGTGAGGAACGTGCAGGAGGCAGCCAATCGATGTTCTCTTTCATCCATGTTTCTACCTCTCTCTATCTCTCAAATCAATAAAGAAAAAAAAAAGAGAGAGAGAGCCCATTACACATAGGTTATTTCAAATATCAGTACATACACGACTCGTGTTTGGGTGGAAATGGTTTGGGTTATCTACGGACTTGCACAGCCGGCTTCCTACTGGCGTTCCCACTCGTGCAGTAGCAACTTGAGTGCACCTCCGTGGCTCTATGTATCCATACAGTTGACAACAGGTTCTAGAAGGTAGTACAAATCATATTGGCACTTCCTGTAGTATTTGGGGGGGGGAAAAGTGCAGCAAGGCAGTTAACATTCAGTCTTGCACGGTGAATGGGAAGCGAAAGAACTGTACAGAGAATCAGGGAGCGGAGAGGTCCTGCAGCTCGGTGGCCACCAGGCGACGGCCTCAAAGCTTAAGTGTAAAGCGGGGCCGACGCGCTGACCCGAAGGCTCTGCGAGAAATAACAGTCCTTTATCCACTCCGTAGACGTCAAGATATTATCACCGTGTCCAACACCCGAGTACAAACAGCGAAGTGAGGAATCCAGAAAAAACGCTGGTTAAAAATACCCCGGCGGGCGGTCCTGTAGCCGAAAGCCGGAAGCGATGCCGTGACCACGCCCAAGTAAGCCGAACCCTCTCCTTTGCGGCCTCCCGCATCCCTCGGAGCGGAGCATGCCCAGGCCAGACTCTGGGCCCCAGCGCTGGGTTACAACCAGCACCGGCCGAAGGGCAATATTACCCAGTGCCTGCCACGACCCCGGCGACCGCGGGTCGACTCAGGACCGGAAGTGACGCAAACGCGCTGAGCACTTCCGGAGTTGCGGAGACCGCTCCGCCTGGAGGAAGCAGCGCGGTCCTTGACCGGCGTCGGACCGCCGCCTCCGCCACTGCCGCGCCTGGGTCAGATCCATCTGGCCCGGCTCGACCCAGTCTGCCCCGCCTGGGCTCAGCGGCCGTGGGGCCGCGGCTCCCGGTAAGTGCGAAGAGCGAGTTGCGGCCTTGTTTACCCGGCGGGCCGGGGGAGGGGGTGGACTCTCCGCGCGCCTCCCTAGCCCGCCCGGGGCTCCGCCTTCGTCGTCGCCCGCGAGGCCCCAGCGCCCCCGTCAGCTGGTACATGGTCTTAGCTCCCGGCGCCGTCCGTGGAGGGGTGGCTGAAGAATACGGCCGAGGCTAGCGGGCGGGCGCCTGGTGTCTCCGTTTTTCCTCCTCCCGACGCCTTCTCAGCGCGCGGAGAGGTCGGAGGCCAGCGCCTCTGACCTACTGGCGCCGGCGCCTGGGCCCTCCCCAACGGGCGCGCCGGGAAACGCGCCGCCTCCGGGGTTCGCCACTCGAGTCATCGCCTGCAGCTTTCGCAGTGCCTTCCGCGCGGTTCGTTAACGTCCGCCGGTGAAGGGCCCCCCAGCGCGTGGCTCTGTGTCCTCGCGGATATCCCGGGGCCTTAGAAGGGACATGCGGCCCGGGACCTGCGTCGCCGCCTCACCGGACGCCGCTGTGCTCGCCGCGGGAGTGGCAGCAGTGTTCTTGGATGACTTCACCTCAGTACTGATTGTTGCTCAGTCCCATAGAACTTCCTGCCACACTGGACACATCCTATACCTTTGCTGTTAAGTAGGGTAGCTACTAGCCACATGTGGCCATTGAGCATTTGACTTGTGGCTAGGGCAACTGAAAAACTAAAGTTTAATTTTTATTTAATTTTTAAGTTCAAATTTAAAAACCGCATGTTGGGTAGTGGCTACCATACTTGACACTACTGACATAGTGTGGGGTTTTGAAACTAAGTCGCTGATTCATATTTTTGTGCCAAGTAGTTTTCTTTTGAGATGTAAAATTAGTAAATCACCATTCAGTGCTAAACTAAATGTTATATCTGGAACGAACATGGTCAGACTCACCAAAAAGTCTCTGTTGTCAGCTTTAAACTGAAAAGTCTTCGGTTTGGATCCTTGATCCTAGGGTGGGTGTCAGGTCTTTGGCTCGGGGGGAAGTAATTTTACTCCTTTTCTGTCTGGGATGTAGGGGTAATATTTAACACCTAAGGAAATCAAAGTGTTGTCATCAATTCTGTTAATAAGGCAAAAACATACTGGCCCCTTTGAGTGATGTCAGCACTCTTTCAGGTAGAGTAGGGATATTGAACTTTGAAAAGACTAAAATTGCCTAGGCTGGTATGGCTCAGTTGGTTGGAATGTCATCCCATACCCTGCAAGGGTCTCAGGTTTGATTCCCTGTCAGGGCACATAACCAGGTTGCGGGGTCAATCCCTCGTCTGGGAACTAGTGTTTCTCTCTAAAAAAACCCATATCCTCAGCCCTGGCTGGTTTGGCTCAGCGGTTAGAGAGTTGGCCCTCAAAGAGACAAGTTCAGACAAGGCTTCAATTCCTGGTCAAAGGCACATACCTGGGTTCAGGTTCTACTCCCCTGCCTCGGTTGGGGTTGTGCGGGAGGCAAACAATGGCTATATCGATTTTTCTCTCTCTTTCTGTCCCTCTTCCTTCCACTTTATCTGAAAATCAATGGAAAAATATCCTCTGGTGAATAGTTAGTAAGAAGCCTGGGCAACCTCCAAGCTGAAATCCTGGGGAGGAATCCAGAGAAAGTGAAAAACATGTCTTTTGTTGTGATTCTGGAGGTAACTTTGTGGATAGTATTAGGCTCTCTGGGAGGGTGATGGGGAGTTACAAATCACCATAGGCCATGAATCTGGTGAGAGCATGACCCTGGGCCCTTCTGGTTGCTAACAGTGCTGTCCTGAGCAAGTTACTTAACCTTTGTGAACCCTGACTTCCTCATTTGTAAGACAAAGCTGATAGCCACTTTGTAGGATTGTGAAGATTTACTGAGAATGAGTCTGACCTGAAATTGGCTCTCATTACATGAGAGCTATTATTGGTAGTGATTGATATTTTGTAGATAGGAGCAATATTCATAGATTGTATGCCCAGTAAGCAGTAGCTTACATAAAATACAAGTAAAAGATCTCTGACTGGTTTCTCAGTGTTTAGAGCACCTGCCAGAGGAAGGGATTGTAATCGATTCCCAGCCCCCTTCAGTCTGGGTTGTGCGGCCCAGAGAGACTCGGGTTTGGTTTCCGCTAAGGGCATGTACCTCGGTTGCAGTTTGTCCCCAGCCCTGGTTGGTCGTACTGGTGGCAGCCACTCGATGTATCCCTTTCATGTCGATGTTTCTCTCTCTCTCTTCCTCTCTCTCCCTCCCACTCTGTCTGAACAAAAAATGGAAAAATGTCCTCGGGTGAGGATAAAAAAAATAAAGGTTTTTTAAAAATCAGTTATTCTTCTATTATTATTATTATTATTTTTTTATCCTCACCTGAGGATGCTTTTACATCTATCTCTTCAGATAGAGGCGGGGGAAGAGAAAGAGAGAAACATCAACATGAGAGAGATACATTGACTGGCTGCCATCCACACACCCCAACCAGGGCCAGGGACAAACTGCAACCGAGGTAGGCGCCCTTAATGGGAACTGAACCCGGGACTCTCTGGTCCTCAGGCTGACGCTCCAACTGCTGAGCCAAACCCACCAGGGCTCATTCCTCCATTATTTTGAAAATAATCTTCCATAGTCATTGTGTGGACTTTGGTTTTCATTTAGTTTATATTTGCCTATGTTTGGAAGTTGTAAGCTCTGGTCTTCCAAGAATTCCTAAAGGATAAAGAATTAGACAAAAAATTTCTAATTGAGTAAGCAAGTAGTACTTTAGTCTTGGATAGTGGGATCTGTATCTCTGTGAAAGTCAGGTGGCCCTTAAGCGTATCAGAAGAGAGGTGGGGAATGGGTATTAATATTGCCTAGTGGCATCCTGTAGGGGACATTTTTTATTTTATTAATTTTTTTTATCCTCACCTGAGGATATCCTCACTCGCAGGCCGACGCTCTAACCATTGAGTCAAACCGGCCAGGGCTTTAATTGTATTTTTTAATTTATTGATTTTAGGGAGAGAGAGAAGTATCGATTTGTTGTTATACGTTCATTGGCTGCTGCTTGTATGTTCCCTGACCAGGGAATGAACCCGAAACATTGGCACGTTGGGACAATGTTCTGACCAGTTGAACTACCTGGCCAGGGCCTGACATTTTTTTATTTTAAAGTAATTTTTTCATTAGTAAAGTGAGATCTGAAAAATTGGCAGTATTCTTTGTTAGATTACCACAGTGTAGGTGACTTTATAGTAAAAGTCCAGCTTTAATTTAGTTACAGTTTATGTTGTCAGCACTTAAGATTGAAAAAGAGGAGTAAGGTGGTTGGCTTTCAAACCAAGCGAAGGAATTGGGTATATATTTCTATCACTAGTAGCCCAGGTTAGGTTATTGTCAGCTGTTTACTTTGAATGCCTACTTATTTTTAGAAGGCCATATAACTTGTCAGTGTGATTATGATAAATGGATTTCTTTGGACATATAAGAAAATATAGTTGACCCTTGAACGACATGGGGTTAGGGTCTGCGTACTAGAAAATGTATGTATAACTTTTATTATTGATTATTAGAAAGAGAAACATTGATTTGTTGTTCCATTTATTTATGCATTCATTGGTTGCTTTTTTGTATATGCCCTGACCTCGGATCAAACCTATAACCTTGGCATATTGGGACAATGCTCTAACCAACTGAGCTACCTAACCAGGGCTTTGTATAACTTTTTTTTTCACCCTCACCTGAGGACATTTTTCCATTTTTTGTTCAGCTAGAGTGGGAGGGAGGGAGGGAGGGAGAGAGAGAGAGAAACATCGATGTGAAAGGGACACATCAAGTGGCTGCCACCTGCACAACCCAACCAGGGCCGGGAACAAACTGCATCTGAGGCACGCGCCCTTAGCAGGAACCGAACCCGGGTCTCTCTGGTTCACAGGCCGACGTTCTAACCGCTGAGCCAAACTGGCCAGGGCTGTATAACTTTTGACTCCCCAAATACTTAACTGATAACTTATTATTGACCGATAATGTAAATATCAATGAACATATTTTGTACGTTACATTTACTATGTACTATATTATTATTATTATTTATTTATTTAATTTTTTTATTTTTTTATCCTCACCGGAGGACATTTTCCCATTTTTTATTCAGATAGAGCGGGAAGGAGAGAGAGGAAGAGAGAGAGAGAGAAACATCGATGTGAAAGGGACACATTGAGTGGCCACCACTCACACGACCCAACCAGGGCTGGGGACAAACTGCAGCCAAGGTACATGCCCTTAGCGGGAACCGAACCCGGGTCTCTGTGGACCGCAGGCTGACGCTCTAACCGCTGAGCCAAACTGGCCAGGGCACTATGTACTATATTATTAAAGTAAAGTAAGCTAGAGAAAAGGAAATGTAAAGAAAATTACGTGTAAGTGGACCCATGCAGTTCAGACTCATATTCAGAGGTCAGTTGTAATTTCATTACTCTGTTCCCTTTTCCATTTTTTGTTCAGATACAGTAGGAGGAGAGAGAGGAACAGAGAGAGAGAGAAACATCGACGTGAAAGGAACATATCGAGTGGCTGCCACCCGCACAACCGACCAGGGCCGGGGACAAACTGCAACCGAGGTACGCGCTCTTGGCGGACACCAAACCCGGGTCTCTCAGGACCACAGGCCGACGCTCTAACCGCTGAGCCAAACCGGCCAGGGCGCTGCTTGTCCTTTAAAAGATCTTTGCACCCTGGCCGGTTTGGCTCAGCAGTTAGAGCGTCGGCCTGCGGTCCTGAGAGACCCGGGTTCGGTGTCTGCCAAGGGCGTGTACCTCGGTTGCAGTTTGTCCCCAGCCCTAGTTGGGTCGTGCGGGTGGCAACCACTCGATTTGTCCCTTTCATGTCGATCTTTCTTTCTCTCTCCCTCCCACTTTATCTGAACAAAATATCGAAAAATGGCCTTGGGTGAGGATAAAAAAATAAATAAAAGGTCTTTGCTTTTTATAAATAAATTTGCAAAAGTAGGTTACCAGTTTAAAAATATGTAAATAGAATTCTCTTTTCATTTTAGATGGAAATTATATGACGGAATATTTGGGTAACATCTTCCTGAATGATCTTCAAGGATTACAGGTATTTTTAATTTAAAGTTAGCCCTGGCCAGTGTGGCTTAGAGTGTCTGCCTGAGCACCGAAGGGTCTCGGGTTCCATTCCCGGTCAAGAGCACATACCTGGGTTGCAGATTTGATCCCTGGCCCCAGTCGGTACACCTGTAGGAGGTAACCAATTGATGTGTCTCTCTCACATTGATGTTTCTCTCTCTCTTCCTTTCTCTCCCCCTCCCTCCTTTCCAATCTCTCTAAAGATCAGTGGAGGTGAGGATTAACAACAATAACAACAAAGTCAAATTGCAAATATTATATTTACTGTCCTTTACAGTCCTATAGAATGGTTACATATTTAGTATATATGCCTTTTTAGTGCATTAAAAAAATTTTTTTTTGTCTTTATTGATTTTAGAGAGAGAGGAAAGGAGAAGGAGAGAGAGAAAGAAACATCAATGAGAGAGAACATTGACTGGCCGCTTCCTGCACGCCTTCCACTGAGGATTGGGCCCACAACCTGGGCGTGTGCCCTGACTGGGAATTGAACCAGCAACCTCTTGGTGCATGGGTTGATGCTTAACCACTGATCCACACTGGCTGGGCTATATGCCTTTTAATTTAATTTTTTAATTTTTTGTTGATTTTAGAGAGAGAGAAACATCAATGAGAGAGAACATCGATTGACCTCCTGCATGCCCCCCACTGGGGATCGGGCCTCCAGCCTGGGCATGTACCCTGACCCAGAATCAAACTGGCGACCTCTTGGTGCATGGGTCAATGCTCAACCACTGAACTACACTGGCCGGGTGGGCTATATGCCTTTTTAATCTTTGTTTTATTTATGGGTTTGTTTGTTTTTTTTTTTCTCAGAAAGATTATTTACTTCAAATAAAATTTACATTTGTAGTTAATCCAGATTTGTGTAAATTATTTACTTACTATTCAGTTCAAATGCTATTGGCATTTTAAAGTTGTTAGTTTTTAGATTTAAGTCACTATTTGATACTGTTCCTTACAAAATGATCACTTGAAATAGTACTTGTTCAGAGAGAATATTGATTGGCGGCCTCCTGCATGCCCCACACTGGGGATTTGGCCCACAACCTGGACATGTGCCCTGACCAGGAATTGAACTGGCGACCTGTTGGTGTGTGGGTCGATGCTCAACCACTGAGCCACACTGGCCGGTCCCAAAATCATCTTTAAGTTGAAGTTAGTACTTGTGATTATTTATTTTGCTTTGTTCATTTATATGTAATTGAGTAACATTTTGATATGTGAGGATTTTTCAGTAGCTGTTTTTATTTGAACTTTTTTTTTTTTATCCTTACCTGAGGACATTTTTTGATATTTTGTTCAGATAGAGTGGGAGGGGGAGAGAGAGAGAGAAACATTGACGTGAAAGGGACACATCGAGTGGTTTCCACCCACACGACCCAACCAGGGCCAGGAACAAACTGCAGCTGAGGTACATGCCCTTAGTGGGAACCGAACCCCGGTCTCTCTGGAGCCCAGGCCAACGCTCTAACTGCTGAGCCAAACCGGCCAGGGTTGAACTCTTTTTTTTTTTTTTTCATTTGAACTCTTTACCCTAAATAGATTCTGGTTTTCCCTAGCCTTGAACCTGCTACGGCAAAAGAATATCTGTAGTTTTCTTTCACTATTAGATCTGTTTCTTTGCCTCTAAGTATCCCCTTTTATTTTTATTTACTTATTTCTGTTAATCCTCACCCAAGGATATTTTTTCCATTGATTTTTTTTTTTAGAGAGAGTGAATGGGGGGGAGAAACATCGATATGAGAGACACACATTGATTGGTTGCCTCCTGTGCACACACCTCTACTGGGCCACGGATTAAGAACCTATAATCCAGGTACATGCTCTTCACTTGGAATCGAACCTGAGACCTTCAATCCTCAGGCCGATGCTCTAGCTGCTGAACAATACCGGCCAGGGCAGTACCCCCCCCCCCCTTAAAGGGTCAGTAAAACCCTTTAAGACTAAGTCAGGTCCTGGCTAGTGTGGCTCAGTTGGTTGGGCGACGTCCCATGCACTCAAAGGTTGCCAGTTCAATTCCTGGTCAGGGCACAGCACATGCCTGGGTTCCGGGCTTGATCCCCAGTAGGGGATGCGCAGGAGGCAGCGAATCAGTGTTTGCTCTCATGTCGATGTTTCTCTCCCTCCCTCTTCCTTTCTCCCTCTCTAAGAAAAAGATCAATTAAAAAACAAAAGACTGAGTTAACTTTGCAGACTAGAGAAGGATGTTGAAGAGCTACGTGGCTTTTAATTTTTCTTTACTAACTATGCACCTGCTTTCCAGATATCTGAGAGCCACGTCTTGTGAAATAGTAATATTCCTTTTCTAGATATTACACTGGGAATTGTGTCCCTATTTATGTACTGTCTGGGTCATTAGTGGGGAATGATTAGCAATGAGATTTTATTTTATTTTATTATTTTTTAAAATGTTTTTATTGATCTTTCTTAGAGAGGAAGGAAGAAATAGAAACATTGATGAGAGAGAAACATTGATTGGCTACCTCGAGCACGCCCCCTACTGGGGATCCAGCCTGCAACCTGGGCATGTGCCCTTCCCGGAATTGAACCAGGGCCTCTCGGTCCATGGGATGATGCTCAATCCATTGAGCCACCCTGGCCAGGCAGCAATGAGATTTTAAACTTTGGTAGTTTGACCTTTAGGTTGCTTCCCTTGTGGGCAGCTATGGGGATGTGCTTCTCAAAAACTCTGACAGGAAGGACAAGTCCATGGGAATCTGACTCACTGACATAGAGCAGACAGCCTTACTCTTTCATGCTAGGCCCTTCATGTGAAATTACCATTGTCCGCCACTAATGCCCTTCCAAGAAAGGGTTTCTCTTTGATAAGCTTAGGCAGGGAGATGATGGTGAGGTAACCTGTATGAGACTGGAGTGGGAGTGGGCCATAGTGAGTGTAGGGCCAGTGCTATGCCATTTTCTTTTTTTTTTTTTAATCGTCACTTGAGGCTGTTTTTCCATTTTTGTTCAGATAGAGTTGGAGGGAGAAAGAGAGGAAGGAACGTTGATATGAAAGAGATACATTGACTGGTTGCCTCCCACATAGCCCCAACCAGGGCTGGGGGCGAACTGCAACTGAAATATGCACCCTTGACTGGAATCAAACCCTCGACTCATCGGTCCATGGGCCAGTGCTCTAACTGCTGAGCTAAACTGGCTAGGGCCCATTTAGATTTTTTTTTTTATCCTCACCTGAGGACATTTTTTTTGCATTTATGTTCAGATAGAGTGGGAGGAAGAGAGGGAGGAAGATAGAAATGTTGACGTGAGAGAGACACATCGAGTGGTTGCTACCCACACAACCCCAACCAGGGCCGGGGACAAACTGCAACCGAGGTATGTGCCGTTAGTGGGAACAGAACCTGGGACTCTCTGGTCCGCAGGCTGATGCTCTAACTGCTGAGCCAAACAGGCCAGGGCCCATTTTGATTCTTTTTTTTATTCCTCATCTGAGGATATTTTTTTTACTTATCAGATAGAGTGGAAGGGAGGGAGAGAGACAGGGAGAAACATCAGTGTGATAGAGCCACATCGACTGGTTGCCTACTGCACGATCCTGACCAGGGCTGGGGACAAACTGAAACTGAGGTACGTGCCCTTGACCAGAATCGAACCCACAACTCATTTGTTCATGGGCCGAGGCTCCAACCGCTGAGCCATACCAGCCAGGGTCATTTTGATTCTTTTTTATTTCTTTTTTTATAATACATCTTTATTTCAAAATGTGTTTTTATTGATTTTTTTTTTCTTTAGAGAGAGAGGAAGGGAGAGAGAGAAACATTGATGACAGAGAAACATTGATTGGCTGCCTCCTGCATGCCCCTCACTGGGGATCCAGCCTGCAATCTGATCATGTGCCCTAACCGGTAATTGAACCAGGACCTCTCAGTCTGTGGTGTGACACTCACTGGGCTTTTTTTTTTTTAGATAGAGTAGAAGGGAAGGAGGTGGGGAGACAGAAAGAGAGAGAGAGAGAGAGAGAGAGAGAGAGAGAGAGAAAAATATCGATGTGAGAGCAAACCTCAGGCCTCGTGCACGACCTCAACCAGGGCTGGGCATCAAACCTGCAACCCAGGTACATGCCCTTAAACAGGAATCGATCCCAAAACCCTTCAATCCACAGGCTAACACTCTAACTGCTGAGCCAATCCAGTCAGGGTATGATTTTGATTCTTGAATGACTTCTGTTACAATTTCTCACAGAAAGTAATACGTATTTTTTTTCTTTTTCTTCCTTAGAAGACAAAAACACTAATGCATTTGAGAAAGTGGTAAAGTTTGGGGGGAGGGGGAAAAAACCCTGCTTTCCTGATTTGCAACTTGGCTGGATGCTAAGATGTCTGTGGACATGAATAGCCAGGGATCTGACAGTAATGAAGAGGACTATGACCCAAATTGTGAAGAAGAGGAAGAGGACGAGGACCCTGGGGACATAGAGGACTATTACGTGGGAGTAGCCAGTGATGTGGAGCAGCAGGGGGCTGATGCCTTTGATCCTGAAGAGTACCAGTTCACCTGCTTGACCTACAAGGAATCCGAGGGTGCTCTCAATGAGCACATGACCAGCTTAGCCTCTGTCCTAAAGGTGAGCAGTGTTGTTAATTTTAAGTATAATCCCCCCGACAATTAAATCTAAATGTGAGCTGTTGCTAACTAATATTTCCTCCAGACCTATTGAATGGTCCTGTAGCTTGAATACAGATTTGAGTATATGTTGCATCTTTTGGACACATTTGATACATTTACTTTGTTTTCTGATATATGCATATTTAAGACACTCAGAAGTCCAGACAACTAGGAATTAGAAAGGAAGGGTGGGGCGGATTCATTAAAAATAGACCAGAAGTATGTAGAAACAGAATTGCACAGACTAACACTGGTTGAAGAAAGTGAGTCTTATGAAACTATTAGGTAAGATGTGATAAGCATCAGAATCACCTCTTCTACACAACCATGTGTGATTGACTGATAAATGTCTTGAGAAGTACCCGAATCCCACTTTGCCCTAAATAATCAAAGCCTCTGGGCTAATGACCTCATTTGTTTCATATACGGGTGACTAATCTAATGTTGGAAGAAATCTTATAACAACTATAAGAATAAAGTAAGTTCTCTCAGCTTATATTTGACTGATTTGAGAGGGGCCATTAATATGGAAATTTTAAAGAATGATCAAAGTTGGTTATTCCAGCAAGAATATTTTTTTTTAATTCTCACTTGAGGATACTTTTTTATTTTTCTTCAGACAGAATAGGAGGGAGGGAGGTGGGGAGAGAAAGAAAGAGACAGAGGCATCAATGCGAAAGAGACAGAGGCATCAATGCGAAAGAGACACATCAGTTGGCTGCCTCCCACACAACCCTGACCAGGGCTTAAACCACAACTGAGGCACATGCCCTTGACTGGAATCGAACCCAAGACTCTGTGGTCTTCGGCCTGACACTCTAAGAGCTGAGCTAAGCCAGCGGGGAGCAAGAATCTTATTTTTAACACTTAAACTAACATACTTTTCTTTTTTAAAATTGATTTTAGAGAGAGAGAGACAGAGAGAAACATCCATAATAAGGGAAACACATTGATCCATTGCCTCCTGTATATACCCCAACTGGGGATCAAACTCACAACCTAGGTATGTGCCCTGACTGGAAATTGAACCCGAGACCTGGTTCATGGGACAATGTTCCAACCAGCTGAGCCACCAAACCAGGGTGCATACTTTTCAATGTGTTGTACCTCAGGTCAGTTATTGTCCTCACTATATATATTTTGTAGTATGTAATATTATAGTAGTACATAGTATGCGCTCATACAACACTGTATAGTATGAATATTTTTATGATCATTTAGACAATTTCCCAGCATGTTTCTTTCTCCTCTAATGTTGACCGTTACGTGAAAATGGGGATATTTTTCTTATTTTACTGTTTTCACTGACCTTCCTTCAGGAACTATTATATGGACTTTGTTGTCTGCTTGAAATTGAAAGTCAAGGGTATATTGGCTTGATTTCAACCAAATAACCTTCTTGTTGGTATTTAAATGGAAATAACTAAGGTGTGCCGTGTATGATTTCTATAACAGTTTATCTACTAGTTTAGGGATTTTTTCCCCCAGGTTGTCAGCAAAGGCTGACACCTTCGATTTAGATACTCAGGGGTTTATTAGCAACTAGCTAGAAGCTGAATGCTAGAGCTTTTCTGTGACTCATTCCTAGAAGTAATTGCAGACTTTCTTTTTTGTGCTCAGCAGAAAACTCTGAAGAAAGGAGACTCGTGGAAACCCTGGGTTTGGGATTTCTGCACCATAGCTATAGCAAAGCTGCTGGGACTTCTGTTTCTAGAGGGCATTGCCCTAGTAGAAAAGAGGCATCAGGTGTCTTTCTTCCTCATCATGCACATTTCTCTCTAGGTGATCACCTATCTTCTTTTGCTTTAATCGTATTGTCAGGTTATACACGGTGTTGGTATTTAAAATTAGAAAAGGAACTGTCCAGTGTGTGGTTGTGCGTTGGATAGTATCAGTTGACTGATTTCATCAGAATCTTTCCACCTGTGCATAGGAATTCTCAGTTTATCAAGCCCTCTGTGCTGACTTTTCTCCCTGCTAGAGAACAGCTAAGGGGCCCAGGCACCTCTCTTTCCATCTCTTTTTTTTTTTTGGTGGTTAAATCTATATAACAAAGTGTATCACTTTATATCCTTCCTTCTTATTAGGCTGACATATGGTCAGCCCTCTGAAAAATCTTCTCTCCCTGGAAAGCCCTCCTCACTTTTTATGTATTTATCTGTGTTTTAGTTTTAAAAATATGTTTCATTTAGGTTTTTTTTTTTTTAGAGAGAGAGGGAGGATGGGAGAGAGAGAGAGAAAAACATCGATTTGAGGGAGAAACATTGATTGGCTGCCTCCTACCCGCCCTCTACTGGGGATTGAGCCTGCAACCTGGGCATGTGCCCTGACTGGGAATCGAACCAGGAACTCTCAGTCTATGGGATGGCGCTCAATACACTGAGCCACACCAGTTAGGCTGTTTATTTTATTTTGTTTTGTTTGTTAATCCTCACAATCTGAAGATATTTTTTATCGATTTTCTGACAGGGCGGAAGGGAAGGGGACGGAGAGAGAGAAGAAAAAACAGCAATGTGAGAGAGACACATTGATTGGTTGCCTCCTGAACGACTATAACAGACCAGGGATCAAACCAACAAGCGAGGTACATGCCGTTGATTGGAAATCGAACCTGAGACCCTTCAGTCTGTGGGCTGACGCTCTAACTGCTGAGCCACACCGGCCAGGGCCCTCCTCATCTTTTAGTACATTCAGGGCTCCTTCAGAGTCTAGCTTGTGCTTTCCCTGAGCAAGCCTCCTTAAGGACCTCTAAAAAACAGTGGTTGGTACCCCCTTTGGTCTCAGTGCCCGAACATTAAGTCCATAGATCATATACTACATTTTTTTTATTGCTTTGTGTTGTTTTACCTTTTACATATATATACATGTGCATGCACACACACACATATACACACATACTTTTCCCCCCTTTGTTAATCATCGCCTGGGGATATTTTTTCCACTGATTTTCAGAGAGTGAGAGGGAGGCAAGGGTGGGGAAGAGGGGGGAGAGAGAGAAACATCTCTGTGAGAGAGACACATTGATTGGTTGTGACTGGGGCCGAGGATTGAACCTGCAATCCAGGTACTTGCCCTTAACAGGAATCGATCCCAAAACTCTTTGGTGTGCGGGCCAATGCTCTAACCACTGGGCAATGCCAGCCAGGGCTTACACATATTTTTGTATGATCTCTCCTATTAGATTGTCACTTCTTGGAGGTCAGAAACTGCTTTATACATATCTCCCCCATCATACCTGTTACTCTTTCATCCATAGTAGGTATTAAATAATTTCTTGCACACTTGTAGATTTTGTTAACTGTTGATGACAGTAGCTGATACTATTGGTGTGAGTTAGATTCCCTAGGCCCTGCTGTACGTTCTTGTCTATTGTCATGAAAGTGCATTATTCTGGCCCTCAAGGTCATGAAAAGAACGAGCAAAAAGAACTTGAAACAAAGATGAAGGGATAAAAAGAGATGTAGGAAAGTTGAAACCCAAGGAAAGAGTTTAAGAGAAAATGGGGCAAAAAGGAAAATAATACGTGGAAATTTAAATGATGCTAGATTTTTCCCCCCTTCCTAGACCTCACTGAGGAGCATGTTAAGACCATTTTTTTCTGGGGCTGGGCAGAAAAGGGACCTGGCTCTTTTGGTGGTTTGGCTGCACATAAAGGGATTCGGTGATGTTCTAAGTGGTTCGGGAATTTGACCAAAGAGGCTAGGCAGAAATAGCACGTTTGATAATAAGATACAAGGAATCACACATGATCTTCGTCTTTCAAGCTGGCTAAAAAGTAGCATTTTTGTTTTTATAATTAATATTTTTTGAGGCAGAAGGGAATAAATTAAATGCTGAGTTGACAAAATGGTGTTCACAGGTGCTTTGGCCAGTGTAGCTCCTCTGTTGGATGTGTGTCTGTGAGTGGAGATCAGTAGCCATCACCCAGATCACTAGTGATTTCTCCCATTGGTCATGGTGCTGTTTGTGTGACTGACATACTGAGATATTTTATTCTTTTATATGATTTAGGTGCTGTTTAGGCTAGTAGGAAATGTCACGTGTGTCATTTAAAAGTATAGTTTTGTGAAGAGCTGTCTAAGAACAAAAGCTAAGTTTGAGAAGTGGCTTGAATTTTTCATTGTTACTCATGTCTGTGTTATTTGTTTTGTGTGTGCTGGTGGTTTCCTGTGGATGAGCCATAGTTGAGCATAATCTTAAGGTTTTTATTGCCTCTTTGGATTTGATGTCTCTTAAGTAGGAATACATCAACTGTTTGAGACACTGAGCTTTTGGTTTAGTGAGGACCTCAGATGTGAGAGGGTAACTTCTTCCTGTATGTGTTCTGGGATTAGTCCATGAGTAACACCACTAATGGAGAAAGGAAAGTGCCCAGAAAATCATATCAAGGGCTGAGGATAAACAACAGAGAAAATATGTATCTGTTATTGGGGGGAAACTATTGTTTAATGATAAAACAAGCATTGTTTTAGAATGATCTATCATCATAAACAAATGTAATAGTGAGAGATGAAATAATTGCCAAGTAAAGTATTGTGTTGTAGGAAGGGAAAAAAATCTCTGACAAATGTTTTTAGTGATCATATGTGAGGCTTTAAAGAAAACAGAGTTGCCCTTTTTATACACTACATTTATTTCATTGTTACTGTTATAAGTGAGAGAGGCCCTTTCTAGTAATAACAGGCTTTTTTTATTTTTATTTTATTCCTTACCCTGAGGATATTTTTCCATTTATCATCAGGTAGAGTGGGAGGGAAGGAAAGACAGAGAGAAACATCAACGTGATAGAGCCACACCAACTGGTTGCCTCCCGCACGACCTGACCAGGGCCGGAGACGAACCGCAACCAAGGTACATGCCCTTGACTAGAATTGAACCCAAGACTCATTGGTCTGCAGGCCAGTGCTCTAACTGCTGAGCCAAATTGGCCAGGGCATAACAGGCATTTTTTAAATATAT